TCGTCTCTTCCTCCTCTTCTTCTTCGCGGCGTCTGTCGTTCTCGTCCTCCTCCTCCTCGTCGTCGTCGTCGGCGTCGTCGTCGTCGTCGGCGGCGGCGTCGTCGTCGTCGTCTCCGCCTCGGTCACCCGAGCCGCCATGGCGGCGGCTTCATTTGGCGGCGGAGAAAGGAGAAGAAGCTTCCAGAAGCCGACGGCCGTTCGCGCTTTTTTTTTTCTTCTTCTTCCTCCTCCTCCTCCTTCTTCTTCTTCTTCTTCTTCTCCTCACGACCAAACCCCCCCGAGGCTGCGGCCTAACTCTCTCTCTCTCTCTCCTCTCCTCTCCTCTTACACACTCCCTCTCTCCATCCGGCGTCGACGTCCGTCCGTCCGTCCGTCCGTCTGTCTCTCTCGCCCTCGCTCGCGACCAACTGTCACCCTGGCCCCGCCCCCGCCCCACCCCTCCGCTCCTGGCCATTGGCCGAGCGTCACGTCCATCGAGACGTCGGCGCACCCCAATGGCCCGCGCAACCGTCGCTCAAGCGTTCGGTCCCGCCCCCTTCCCCCGTCGTCTCCTCATTGGTCGCTCGCGGCCGACGTCACCCCCCCTTCGCGCTCCTGACGTCTCCGAAGCCGTCAGCGCTCTCTACCCCCCCCCCCGCCCCCCCCTCGTTGGCCGGCTCAGACGTCCGTCGAGCCTTCTCGTCTCCTCATTGGTCGCCAATCGCCTCTGACGTCAGCCAGGCTGTCCGCTCTTTCCATTGGTCCACCCCGCTGTCACTCGTACCGCCCCCCTCCCTTCTGATTGGCCGCACCTGCCGCTTACGTCCACGCCGCGTCACGCAAAGCGTCAGCGCTCCCCATTGGTCCGCTCAGATGTCCATCAAACACCACATCGCCTCCCCTCCCCCAACCACCCAACGATGACGCAATACTCCCCGCCCTCCTGCCAATCAAGCTCCGCACGCCCCCTGAGCTGTCTGTCAAGCTGCCTCCTCTCCCTATTGGCCCCTCGAAGCATCAATCAAGCCACGCTTACAATCTATTGGGTCCCGGAGCTGTCAATCAGGTTCTTTTCTAGTCCCACCCCCCCCTCACCACTCCTCATCACTATTGGTCCACGAAGCTGTCAATCCAGCCTCTCCTCTCCTGATGGGTCCAGTCGGGGAGTGGGGAGGTCGCTGGGCTGCTGCGTTCCGCCCACAAAAGACAGTCACTACGCTTGACAGCGCGTCCTGTGAAGCGCTTTGAGGCGCCTCGAAGACGTGATGAGGCGCCGGGTTACGTTGAGTCCAGCGCAGGGGTTAGACCCCCTCACGCGCCTCGGTCCCTGGAGCTCAGGGGTTAGACCCCTCACCTCCCCCTCGCACCCCATAGCCCCTGTAGCTCAGGGGGTTAGACCCCCTCCCCTCGCACCCCACAGCCCCTGTAGCTCAGGGGGTTAGACCCCTCCCCTCGCACCCCCACAGCCCCCTGTAGCTCAGGGGTTAGACCCCTCCCCTCGCACCCCACAGCCCCTTAGCTCAGGGGTTAGACCCCTCCCCTCGCACCCCACAGCCCCTGTAGCTCAGGGGTTAGCCCCTCCCCTCGCACCCCACAGTCCCTGTAACTCAGGGGTTAGACCCCTCGCCCCCCACCCCACAGCCCCTGTAGCTCAGGGGTCAGACCCCTCCCCTCACACCCCACAGCCCCTGTAGCTCAGGGGTTAGACCCCTCCCCTCCCACCCCACAGCCCCTGTAGCTCAGGGGTTAGACCCCCCTCACACCCCACAGCCCCTGTAGCTCAGGGGTTAGACCCCTCCCCTCGCACCCCACAGCCCCTATAGCTCAGGGGTTAGACCCTCCCCCTCACACCCCACAGCCCCTGTAGCTCAGGGGTTAGACCCCCCCCTCGCACCCCACAGCCCCTGTAGCTCAGGGGTTAGACCCCTCGCCCCCACCCCACAGCTGAGAGGCTGAAGGCCACCGATGGTCGGGCGGTTGGGGCGGGGGGTGTGGAGCAGACCGGAGCCAGAGGAACGGAGGGTACGGGCGGGTACGTGGGGGGGGGGGGGGGGGACAGTAGGTCGGAGAGGCAGGAGGGAGCGAGGCCGGGAATGGCCTCGTAGGTGAGGATCTTGAATTCGATCCTCTGGGTGGGGTGGGGTGGGTGGGGGGGATGGGGAGCCAGTGGAGGCGAGGGCGAGGGCGAGGGCGGGGAGTGACCCCACCCCTCACTGTTTCACATCACTCGGGGGGTGGGGGGGGGGGGGTGAAACCAGACGCTACCCTGAAACTAGTTTAACCTGAAAAACCGGCAGAGATCCTGCGGGATCCTCCGGCAGGTTTCAGAGTCTGGCGTTGAGGAGACGCGGAGAGGGTCGGTTGCTCTGCTGAAGGCGCTGCGTTTGGGCCTCTCTCCCCCGTCCTCCTCGCTCACCCCAGACACCCGGTCCGCCCGTCCCGTCCCGTCCCGTCCCCTTATCCCCCGCCAGACACATGGCGAGGTCTCTCTCGCTGTCGGTGGTGCTGCTTAGCTGTGAGTGGTTCCTGCGCGCGCGCGCGGGTGCGGGCGCTCGTGGGTGGGGGTGGGTGGGGGTGGGGGTGGGTCGGGGTGGGTCGGGTGGGTCGGGGTGGGTGGGGGTGTGTGGGTGGGTCGGGGTGTGTGGGGGTGGGTGGGGGTGTGTGGGTGGGTTGGGGGCGCGGGGCTGTGAGATTAGACTGTGTGTCAAAGGAGAATGTGTGGGTGGGTGTGTGTGTGTGTGTATATATATATGTATGTGTGTGACTGTGCGTGTCTGACTGTGCGCGTGCGTTTGAGAGACTGCGTTTGAGACTGTGTGTGAGCGAGACTGTGTGCGTGTGTGTGTGCGCGCGCGTGAGAGAGACTGTGTGTGAGACACAGTGCGTGCGTGCGTGTGTGTGTGCGTGAGAGACGGACTGAGAGAAAGACTGCGAGAGATTCATTGCTTCCCCCACACACGCAGATACACACACACACACACACACACACACAGGCACAGACGCAGCTGAACAAAGTGTGACGTAATGTAGGTGTGGATTATTACTCACACACGCACACGCACACGCATACACCGACACACACACACACACACACAGTATAATGTGAATTTCTTTACATTTCAGACGTTGGCTGGTGCCAGGCTGTGCAAGGTGAGCTTTCTTACAATTACTATTCATGATAAAGAACAAATAATACATATTAATAATAAACGCGTAGAAATATTAATGATTAGTGATAATACCTATGTCGATATATATATTAAGATTAATTGTCATTGGGTATCAATAATAATAATAATAATAATAAACATAATCCTTGCTCCTGACCCTACAATCACGTCAGGAGGACGCCTCAAAGCACTTCCCAGGGCTCGCTGTGAAGTGTAGTGACTGTGTGTTTAACGCGGCAGCCAATTTGCGCATTGCCTGGTGAACCGGGAGAGGGGGGGAGTGAGGGAGGGAGGGAGTGAGAGAGAGTGTGTGAGCGAGTGAGAGGCGAGGGGGGGGGGGGGGGGGCAAAAGACTCCATGACCCCCTCAACCCCCACCCTCGCCCGACTCCACCGGCTTCCCATCACACACAGGATACAGTTCAAGATCCTGGTCCTCACCTTCAAAGCCCTCCACGGCCTCGCTCCCCCCACCCCACCCCACCCCGCCCCGCCCTCCGCCGCCTCCTTAACCCCCACCTACCATCCGAACGCGCCTTCGGTCACCCCCACACCGGTCGGTCCGCATCCCTGACCGTCCCGTCCAGCGCCTTGGGACGTCCTCCCGACGCGAAAGGCTGCCGTGTGAATGTCCTGCGCGATTGTTGTTGTCGTTGTTGACGCCGACGCCGGTGATGTGTTAACCTGTGGCTTTGTGGCCGGGGTGTGCGTCACAGGGTGTGGGAAGCCGCGCCCTGCGGACAGGATAGTGGGGGGCGCTCCAGCACAGCGGGGCGAGTGGCCCTGGCAGGTCAGTATTCACGAGGGCTCGCAGCACGTGTGTGGAGGCTCGCTCATCTCGGCCAGCTGGGTCATCTCAGCCGCTCACTGCTTCGAAACGTAAGACCCGTCTCAAGAGCTTCGCTCGCGCGCGCACGCACGCACGCACGCACACACGCGCGGTGCTCACACACACGCACACACACACACGGGCCTCACACACACATCTCACGGGCCTCACACACACACACACACACACACACAGTGCTCACATACACTCACTCTTAGGGCTCTCTCTCTCTCTCTCACACACACACACACACACACAGCGCTCACACACGGGCCTCACACACAGGGCTCACACACACACACACACACACACACAGGGCTCACGCACGGCCTCACACACAGGGCTCACACACACACACACACACACGGTGCTCACATACACTCACACTTAGGGCTCTCTCTCACACACACACACACACACAGCGCTCACACAGGGCTCACACACACATCTCACGGGCCTCACACACACACACACACACACACACACAGCGCTCACACACAGGGCTCACACACACATCTCACGGGCCTCACACACACACACACACACACAGTGCTCACATACACTCACTCTTAGGGCTCTCTCTCTCTCTCACACACACACACACACACAGCGCTCACACACGGGCCTCACACACAGGGCTCACACACACACACACACACGGGCTCACACACACCTCACGGGCCTCACACACACACACACACACACACACACACAGTGCTCACATACACTCACTCTTAGGGCTCTCTCTCTCTCACACACACACACACACAGCGCTCACACACGGGCCTCACACACAGGGCTCACACACACACACACACACGGTGCTCACATACACTCACTCTTAGGGCTCTCTCACACACACACACACACACACACACAGCGCTCACACACGGGCCTCACACACAGGGCTCACACACACACACGGTGCTCACACACACACACACACACGGCTCACACACACATCTCACGGGCCTCACACACACACACACGGTGCTCACATACACTCACACTTAGGGCTCTCTCTCTCACACACACACAGCGCTCACACACGGGCCTCACACATAGGGCTCACACACACACACACACACACACGGTGCTCACATACACTCACACTTAGAGCTCTCTCTCACACACACACACACACACACACACAGCGCTCACACATGGGGCTCACACACACACACACACACCTCACACACTTGGAGCTCTCTCACACACCCACACACACACCTCACACACTTGGAGCTCTCTCTCTCACACACACACACACACACACACACCTCACACACTTGGAGCTCTCTCTCTCACACACACACACACACACACCTCACACACTTGGAGCTCTCTCTCTCACACACACACACACACACACACCTCACACACTTGGAGCTCTCTCTCTCACACACACACACACACCTCACACACTTGGAGCTCTCTCTCACACACACACACACACCTCACACACTTGGAGCTCTCTCTCACACACACACACACACACACCTCACACACTTGGAGCTCTCTCTCTCACACACACACACCCACACACCTCACACACTTGGAGCTCTCTCTCACACACACATACCCACACACCTCACACACTTGGAGCTCTCTCTCTCACACACACACACACCTCACACACTTGGAGCTCTCTCTCTCACACACACACACACACACACACACCTCACACACTTGGAGCTCTCTCTCACACACACACCCACACACCTCACACACTTGGAGCTCTCTCTCTCTCACACACACACACAGACACACCTCACACACTTGGAGCTCTCTCTCACACACACACACACACACCTCACACACTTGGAGCTCTCTCTCTCACACACACACACACCTCACACACTTGGAGCTCTCTCTCTCACACACACACACCTCACACACTTGGAGCTCTCTCTGTCTCACACACACACACAGACACACTTGGAGCTCTCTCTCTCACACACACACACACACACACCTCACACACTTGGAGCTCTCTCTCTCTCACACACACACACACACCTCACACACTTGGGAGTTCTCTCTCTCACACACACACACACACACACCTCACACACTTGGAGCTCTCTCTCTCACACACACACACACACACACCTCACACACTTGGAGCTCTCTCTCTCACACACACACACACCTCACACACTTGGAGCTCTCTCTCTCTCACACACACACACAGACACACCTCACACACTTGGAGCTCTCTCTCTCACACACACACACCTCACACACTTGGAGCTCTCTCTCTCTCACATACACACCTCACACACTTGGAGCTCTCTCTCTCTCTCACACACACACACACACACCTCACACACTTGGAGCTCTCTCTCTCTCACACACACACACCTCACACACTTGGAGCTCTCTCTCACACACACACACACACACGCGGCGCTCACACATAGGGCTCACACACACACGCGCGCGCGCGCGGGGAGAGAGCGAGACACAACCCGAGGCGCGTATGAACCCCGTTCCCCCTCGCCCCTCAGAACCTCGTCCGATCTCACCGTCTTTTTGGGCCGGCACCAGCAGTCGTGGCCCAACCGGGGGGAACAAGCTCGCCGCATCAAGCAGATTCTGACGCACTACGCCTACCGGGACGCCCCAGAGGGAGACGACATTGCCTTAGTCGAGCTGCTGTCGCCGGTGCAGTTCACTGACTACATCCAACCCGTCTGCCTCCCGGCGGCCACTTACCGGTTCGCCTGCGACCGGTTGTGTTGGGTCACTGGTTGGGGGCAGGTGGCCCAGGACGGTAAGGAACCACGCGCCACGAATCTCAACCCCCGCCCCCGCCCCCGCCCCGCCCCGGAGGACGTCCCTCGAAGGCTCGTTCACACTGCACGCGCGGCTCAGAGCTTCTCAACGCCTCGCGCGCACACGCAGCACCGCTCGCGCGCGCGCGCGGACGCATCACCGCTCGCTGGCGCACACAGCACCGCTCACACACACACACACACACACACACAGAACGCTGCATACGGCGGTGTCTCCACAAACAGCTGTGAAGCGAGCGATATTATTTGTCGGTGGTGGTGGTGGTGGTGGGGGGCGAGGGGGAGAGCTTCTCTCTCTCTCTCTGTCTCTCAGTCTCTTTGTGTCTCTCTCTGTCTCTCTCTCAGTCTCTCCGTGTCTCAGTCTCTCTCTGCGTCTGTCTCTGGCTCAGACACCGACACTCACAGCCTCTCTGTCTTTCTCCTGCCTCTGGTTCGAGCTCAGACACTGACAGCTTCTCTGTATCTGTCTCAAGACACTTGACTCACAGCTTCTCAGTCTCTCTCTCTCTCTCTGGCTCAGACCCTCACAGCTTCTCTCTCTCTCTCTCTCTCTCTCACACACAGTCAATCTCCAGTCCCCGGGGACACTACAGGAGCTGCAAGTGCCGCTGATAGGGTCACGGAAGTGTACGGAGCTGTACAACGTGGGCGCGAGCCCTGAGGTTAAACCTGTGGTCATTAAACCGAGCATGTTGTGTGCCGGCTACCCGCAGGGCATCAAGGAT